AACGGACAAGAAAAAGAAATATTTCTATATTTGGAATCTTATATGGTAGAGATAGTTAAAGCATCACTCGTATAAATAAATCGTTGGTGTGCTAACATTACCAACTAATTAAACAAAATTTCAATACAATCGTGCACAAATTGCCTAATTTTTACTTTCCTTTTTCTTTTCTCGTGCACAAATTATCTAACTCCTACATTCATTACATTCCCTTTCCTTCTCTATAATGGCTGATGAAACAACTCCAACTCCCAAAGTCAAAGGCACGAAAAAAGGTGTAAAATCTTCTGATCCTGCAATTAACCGTGATGCTGCATCTCTACGCCAATTCTTTGATGCTTACAATAGTCCTCCTACAATGCAAGTTCACATACGAGGTAAAAAAATTCTTTCAACATTTTTATGATTTCTTTTTCATACATCAATTACATTCTTATTTACATTCCTATCATTCTCTCTTTCTCTCATCTCTCTCATCTCTCAGGATGGCATCAAGAAAAATCCCAAGAAATGTCTGGCAAAAACAATCACAAGAATGTCTATACGCATGTTACAGATTTTGAAGTTACTCTTGACCTTAATGGATATATTGTCCCTACCCCCCAAGTAGTTGCTCCTTCAAGCTTTGATGAGTATTTGGAAGCTTATATACGTGATGAAAATAAATGCAAGGAAATCACTCTTAAAAAGGTAAAAAAGTTTTTTCCAAAAAATTTTCTACTTTAATCATCTACTTAATTATCTGCTTAATTATCAATATCTAATGAAACTTTTTTTTGCCATTTTAATGTCAATTAAAAAAGACTGTTATATGGGAATATGACGCACTTTACAATTTAATTTTCGATTTGGCACGTCGTCGTGGATTTCGATATAACCTAAATGTTACATATCCTCAAGGCAATAACGTTGTAAAAGTCATGACAGATAACTCTTTTGGCAAGAATGTGCGAACCTATGCATTTATTGCAGCACCAATTTCTTGGGTTTATAAAAAGAAATTCAATAAATTGCAAAGTCAATTTCAAATGAATCTTACAGTTGCAGAATGGTTTTCACAGAATTCAACTCTAATAGAACAATACATCACTGTTGATAAGCAGGGTGGTCGTATTGTTGGTTGATGAGATTGAATTTTATGAAATTTCTCCCTTTTTTTTTTTTTTGACATTTATATCATCAAATCTTTCATACTTTGTAATTGCAAATTATTCGAATATGTATCTATTAATTAGACTTATATTCATCATCTGCCATTTTTTTAATGAACTTAACCATTTTACATCTTATTCATATATTTAATCATATCATGATGTCAATTCTGGAATTGATATTCTCTTTTTTTTTTTTCTACATAGATATACACTATAATATAAACTATATATATGTATTAATTATCTAGGTGAATAAAAATTAAGGGTAGTTATTTTGTCATATATGTGATAATGGTTGATATATCACCAAATCCATTGGAATCAGATTTCGAGATATGTTGTAACGTAGTACGATACGGAAAATTTTTTAAAAAAAAACAAAACGTTCGGTTTACAAAAAAAATCACTTATAACTCAAAATTTTGCATAGGAAATCATCTTTAGTACTCTAACAAAAAGTTTCTTTGGGTGATTTTACTATTAAGTTTGTCATCACCTAGCCCTAATATAAATGTTAACCCTAACCTTAAAGAACGTTTATCGGTTTTACATGACAATATTAGTTACTGAAATACAAGTACTTTTTTTTATAAAAAAAATAATTAGAAATTGCACATGCAGGCTGCTTCAACTAATATTTATTTCAGGTGTTTCAAAAGTCACTACACAAGTTCCTAAAAATTTGTCACTTTTTACTATCTCTACAAAATGTTTAGGAATCGTGTATTAGTGACTTTCGTTTGAACACCTAGTATATGGCAGGTAATGTACTAATAGCATTACCAATAATTGATAATTTATAATGTTTTTTGTTTATTCAATATTCAAAAATTAAGAAAATGTTTTAAAGATTTTAAATTCCTTTTTTTTTTTTTAATGAAATAAAATCCAATACATAACTACTACAGTAGTATTAAATAGAAAATATAAAAGTATTTGAATAAAAAGTTGATCAGTCTTAGATTTTTGACAATAATTCTTGGTCTCGCTTCGCTCTGCCTCGTTTTAAATTCAGTTCTACACTATTATACCAGTACGATTCATGAACGTGTAATATATATAAATGTGAGAGGGATGTCGCTTATACTGAAAAGTCCTTTTTTTAGTAAAACAATAAATAGTTGGATGATTTTGCAATAGTTGAGCATCGTGTATTTATTCTAAGTATTCAAACTTATGTTTATATTTATATATTT